AGGAGTACCCCATCGAAGTGGGGCCCCACACATGCCTCGCACCCAAACGGGTCGGCGATCGCTGTTCACATCCAGAGGAATGCCTTTATTATGACAAGAGTTCGCATTGCAATCAAAGCCCGTATTCGTCGCGTTGTGAATGCAATGCGGGCTCTCTTTACGACAAGAATCAACGCCTTTGTGTCACTGGTTTGTCATCTCATTTGATCCGTACAATCAAATTGTGTTCACTAATCGTTTTATTTGTCAATTCAGAGACGAAGAACGTGCGGAAGGGATCCAATACAGCGCTGATGATACCGACGGCGGCGGGCCTTCTGATGGCGTGTTTCAGTGTCTTGTGTTGTTGTGCACTGATTTGGCACAATCTGTGCCGCAAACACAACACCCGTCAAAACACGGCCACGTCTTCCAGCGGCCAAAGAGGTCGTCGAAGTCAAAGCGATTCGCGACGCGGAGCCGCTCTTAACCGCCGAAATCAGTCAACCGATGGCCAAACGGCACCACATCTGCCGCCATATGAGTCGATACTAATCGATAGCATGAATAACGATCCGCCGCCCACTTATGAGGACGCCATCAAAGACTATGATTTGACACAACACACGACCACCACTACTGCCACCCGAGACGATACCACGGAAACCAAAATCACTTAACTCTAAACCTTCCGATTCTCATCATTTATAGCAAATTAAATGTCATTATTATTCACATATTTTTATACATTTTATATTTTTTCAAATATTGAGTTGATTTTAGTCTGTGATGAATGCATTCAATGCTTTCTTACAATTTACGTGTTTCTCATTCGCTTATTATCTGATTTTTCACTACATTTTCAGTCAAACTGTATTTATTCATCAATTTTTCACAAATATTGTAAATCCTTTTTTTTATAAATGTATTTATTATAAATTTTACAAATTATTAATCATTTCGAATTGTTTAAAAAAATTATTATACAGTGTATTTAATTCATGTAATGATTTTATGAATTTCTTAACTTTAGGAGTAATTAACAGATTATACAATCATTTACAGTACATTATAAACACATTGAAATAAAAACAATTTATTAAAAATTTACTTTAATAATGTTTAAATAGATTTTCATTGCATTTAATAATTGTTATCTTGAATTGAATTATTAAAATTATCTGACAAATGAGTAATCAATGGATCCGATAGTAAGACATAAATATTTTTATTATTTGTCGATAAGTTCTAACCAAATTCTTTTTACCATATTCGTTCAATCAATTAATATGTGTTTATTTGTGGCAAAAGCAATATTAGTGAATTATAAAGACAATATTTGAATTAATTTATATTCAAGTATTGAAATTAAAGCAATTTAGAAAATTGTTAAAGTTACAATTAATATTTGTCACTAAATTATAGAATATTCTCAATTAAATATAATTTATTATAGTATAAACACGTTTATATTGATAGTCAACTCATGTTAAATGCATTGCGGGAATAAATATTCAATTCTTGTATTAATTAAATGTTATATTAATTTAGAATTTGTTGTGTTATGTGTTGACAAACGAGTAGTAAAATTCATAAATATAGTAAAATTGAATTTTATTCAAACCTAAAATATGAGAATTTTATCGACAAAATTGCAAAATAAATAATTTATGAATCGAAGAGTGTTTGATGTTTTAGTATTCATTGTTTTTAACTTTATATCTCACTTACCCCTCAAAAAATGTATTTAATATTTATAACTAAAAGTTTGCGAAATGTGTTTATCATAACATTCGTCTCAATCAACGCATATCTTATTCGTAACAAAATCCTGAATATTTGATTATATTTTTCTAGAATTTCTAAATATTTTCATTAATGTATTAATACATGTATTTGTCATAGTTTTTAAAATATTATATTATATCCGATAGGTATAAAGTCAAAGAATTTGAAATATAAAATGTAATTTATAGAATGTAAAATGTATGGATTTAAAATGAAGCTAAACAAATAATAAAAGGAACAAGGTTCACACAGCGATGCTATACGTTAACCACAATTCGGGTGATGCTTAAAGAATAGATTAGCACTATCTACAGATTTAATATGAGTCCCATAGACTTGCCATAGACTTAGTATTGCCCATAGAATAAGCATTAGTCCCATAGGATTAACATTACCCATAGGATAATATTAGCCCCATGTTAAAGTATAGCCATAGACTTAAGCTGTAATCCCATGTTAAAATGTTTGAATTCTTAAATAGAAGCTAAAATAACATGAGACATATTTCAGGATTTCGCTCAAAAATAAGTTTGAATTTAACATTATGTCTATGGAAAAAATGGTAAAATTTTGGTTGTTTTGAGATTACTTTTATAATAGGGGGTCAACCATATTGACCATATCACGACATAAACTCCCGGAGTTAATCTGATATATCATTTGAATTTCTAGACCGAATAATTTTCGAGATATTCGAGTTTACTTTTCAGGGTCCATTAATATCCACCCTATAATTATCACATATAAATTAACGTTTGTTTAAAGTATATGTTTTATATTTTTAAATAGTGACAACACAATTAAGATTGTCCTAAAAGTAAATTCTACTTTCACTATATCTCTATTGCAATCTTTCCTTAATTAACGGTCAAAGTGACCAAAAAGTAGTTACCGGTAGAGATCGTCGATAAGCAACGGAAATGCAATTATTATTGTAATATAATCTGTTGCAACGAATTACCACTTTCACCACACTTTGCAATTAGGAATACTAAGTCAACGGCACTTTTCCATAGAGTGGCACTTTTCACATTACTCAGATTCTGGGACAGCAACCGTAATAGACTTAACTCATACCTATTGTCTGCAAATATAACGATAAATTTCAAATTTTCAAAATTAATCTAAATTCATTTACTAATGCAGTAAATACATTGTATAAGAAAAATATAGAATTAAGAATTAACATTAACCTAAAATCAAACATTGTTGATCACTTTTATTATAAATATCTGAGATATTGGAAAAACACGTGTCTATTAGTCAACAATTTGTTGCCCTCATTATCTCCTAAAATCACTCAATAGTTATAAATATGTTGTGTTTTCCCAATTAATTTACTTTTGCGTAGATTTATATTTATGCATCCATTTATTTATATTAAGGATTAGATCTCTCTCTCTCTCTCTCTCTCTCTCTCTCTCTCCAAATCTTAATAGACCCTTAGGTTAAATAAACAACATGTTATAATCAAATGCAAAATCTTATGATAACAGTTCTAAACGTATTGTTTACAGATTAGAGTCCAAAATATTTTAAAATCCACCCCTCTCTCTCTCTCTCCAAATCTTAATAGACCCTTAGGTTAAATAAACAACATGTTATAATCAAATGCAAAGTTGACGGCAATAAACGTAAATTTAGGAATAAATGTAAAGAAAGGGTACAAAACAGTTATCGTGGAAATGCTATCGAGGGGTGGATTTTAAAATATTTTGGACTCTAATCTGTAAACAATACGTTTAGAACTGTTATCATAAGAAATAGTGTATAAAATTAGAAACATATCATTTGCCAAACGATACACCTTTTCTGTAATCATATATTCAATCACTGTATAAACAAAACACAGTTTCCATTCAATTTCAATCGTTGTGTCAAATATTGAACGGAATGCCAATTGTTTGCTAATCAAATTATTTAAAATGCATTGTATTTTAATTACAAGTTCTCTGTCTATCCCTATAAAATACCGAACAGCATAATCATAAATGAAACCTATTTTAAGTACAAGAATAATATAATTTGCTTATTCTTGTTAATAATTTATAATTTTAGTAATTTTATTAAAAATTTATCTAAAATAACGTTAATTTTTAAGTTTTAAATCGAAAGGAAAGCTTTACATATTTTTAAATTTATTTAAATTTAGTCAAAAAAATTTTAGTATTTTTTAAAAACTTTAAACAAAATACATGTGAAGAATAGTGTATTTACTTAAACTAATCTTAAATATATTACAGAATATAAGTCTATTTTATCGCTTTCCATATTTTAAGCGTTATTTTCATATTTATTACATATAAAGTCAGCGAAAAGAATAAATAAAAATAAATTGATTACATTTTATGTTCAATTAAATAAACAAAACAAATTTTATGGAAATATTTTGTTTAATTTATAGTTTAATTTTAGTCTAAGTTCATAAATGAACAAAAATTTGTTTATAATTAAATTAATTATTTTCAACTGTAATTCTGACTTAAATTATACCCATTGATAGCGTTTAACACGAAAATTAAAGCTAGAATTGTGTTACATTACGACAATTGAAATCAATAAAGCATTGAAAGCAATGAATACCAATGAATACCAATGAATACCTAATTTATTTAAAGTATTCAAACACAGGAAACGTGTCTTTACGGGAGTCGTGGAAATATATTGGAGAGAATAGGGTATGAAATATACCGTAAACTTTCATTAATGTTTAGATTAAGTGACGCCAACAGGAAATGCATTCAAACCACCATTACTTCCAATAAATGTAATTAGTATTTATTGATGACATCCCTGTTTACTAACCAATGATGAGCATCAGGTGTGACACATCCATAACATCATAACACCCTTATTATACCATTCATTGCAGCTCTCTCTCTCTCTCTCTCTCTCTCTCTCTCTCCAAATCTTAATAGACCCTTAGGTTAAATAAACAACATGTTATAATCAAATG